CTCCATTGCGTGCGTGCCCCGCACCTTCCTCAGCGGCTCGCCCGGGGTGGGCGTTGGGGTGGTGTCCTCCTTTCGGCTGCACCGAGCAGGGTGCAGAGCTCTCGGCGATGCGTCCGCAGCCGGGCTTCCGGGGCCACCCGGGGTTCTGTGCAACTCCGAGAGCAACCACTCGTGCTCCCTGGTGGGGGTGACATCCGTTGCTCTGGGGAGGGTCTCACGAACTCTGCCGGAGGCTCCGTGCCCTGGGCAAGACCTTTGTGACCTCGTGGGCCCGATGCAGGGGGAGCGGCCTCAGGGGCCCAAGGCCGCTGCCCTGGGAGGGGTCGGCTCAAGTCCCAGGTGCCACTCCAGAGGAGCCACAGTGCCCGCAGCCCGGCCAAGAGAACAGGCCCTCCTGGGGCCCGAGGGCAAAGGTCAGTGCTGCGTCTTCGGAGGCTCAGGGAGCAGCACAGGGAGTCACTAGGGAGCAGCAGCTAGCTGCCTCGTCCTGGGCAAGAGGGTCAGGCCCTCTGTCTCCCTGTTCCTCTGTCCCTCTGTCCGTCTCATCATTTCTGCTTAATGACCCACATCACTGGGCCCTCACATTCGGTCCTCACAGAGGTGTCCTCCAGATCTAGTCGGTCAGGCTGGGCAGGGAGCTCGGGGTAGGCTGGAGCAGGCCTCGGTGGCCCCGATGGGGGTGGGGATGCCCCGGGGGTCCCAGGGCAGTGAGGGTGGTGGTCGTGGTGGTGCTGTGGTCTGCAGCTGAGGGGCTCACCCACCAGCCCAGGGGAAGTCATTGATGAAAAGGCTGCAGGTTCCCACCAAGCACACCAGCTGAGTGTCCACCGCCTGTCCATCTTTCCCTTGTCACTGGGACCCCGTTTTCCTCTGGAGGCCTGTGTGGCTGCCCCGAGTTGGAGGCTCTGGGACGGGGTCCCTGGCTGAGGCCAGCACATCCTGCAGCCCATAAAGCTGTCTTGGTGCTTGATTGACAGTGTCTCTCTACCTTCAGGGCAAGATGTCCGGCCGTCACCCACTGTGTCCAGCCCCCGTTCACATCCACCCAGAATCTCGGGATTCGGAAACAGTCTCTGCAGATGGGATTAGTTAAGATGAGGCCGTCCTGGAGGGTGGCCAGTGCCCGTTGTCCTCATGGAACCTGGGAATTTGGACACAGACGCGCAGGGAGCCCCCAGCACCCCTCCCCTGGGGCCCGGACACTGTCGTCTCTGACTCCTGGCTCTGGGGCTGAGAGGGAATCTGTCTTTCTGCCGAGTCAGAGAGAGCAGACGCCGCGTGCGTACAAACGCCTCCGGGCGAAGGCGAGAACCCCCAGGTCCCTCAGGGAGTCACACTCTCTGGGACTTGGCTGTTCCCGCCCAGGGAGACAGCCAGCTTCTAAGGGCCGCGCTGTTAGCCTGGTCCCGCCGCAGCTGCGGGCGCGTTTCTTAGCTTCCAGCGCCGCCTTCTGGAAGCTCCTGAAATTACACCCGCTCCCAGTGGCCTCTGGCTTCCTGCTTACCCAGAGCCGCCCTGTCAGGGACTCACGTGCCCGCTGGGCCCAAGGTGCCCGGAGATTCTGGGTCTTAGGAGAGCAGCTGCCAGACCTGCTTTCTAAGGACACAAATCGTTGCCAGCTGCCCAGCGGGGCCTGGGCCCTCGCAGTCTTGCCTGGAAGCGCCGGCACCTGAGGGGCAGCACACACACCCCGACCTGCGCTTCCCACGGTCAGGACACAGGGACACAGGGACCTTCCGGCCCAGAGGGACTGGCACACTGGGAGGAATGGATAAGGACTTAATGAGAAGCTGGGGAGCCTGGCACAGTCCTTCCTTTGTGACGGCCAACTTCCCTGGGTCTGAAATTATCCCGAGATGAGACTCAGAACAGAACAGGCAGGAAGGTCTCCCCTACAAGTGTGGACCTGCGGGGCGGGTTGGGGGGGCCTCCCCGGCACCCCAAGGTCTGGCCTGTTTAGGGGACAGGGTCATTTCCCAGGCAGAGTTGAGGTGAGTGGAGGGGCTTGGTGGCTGCAGGCCTTGACTGTGGGGTCCCAGCCGGGGAACCGGGTGGAGTCGGTGAAGGACCGTTCCCGCCGGAGCCTGAGGTCCTGCGGTCGAGGACAGGCCAGGCCTGCCCTGCTGTCCATGGTCTCCCCAGCCAGCCCCCAAGCCAGGGAGCGGGTATGTGGCCCCCTTGGAGAGGAGGTGGCTCTGGGGAAACAAAGCCTGACCCGGTGCCTGACATCACCAGGGTGACCCGTCCCCCCACCAGCTGTGTCACCCGTGTTCCAGTGCCCCCGTCCCCCACGCCCACGTCTCCCATGTCCATGTCCAGCCACGGGGTGGGGATGTAGCCATGGGCCAGGTGGGGAAAATCTGGGGAAGTTACTTTAACTTCCCGGAGCCTCCCTCCTCCACTGTCTGCCAAGTGTTCTGTGAGGTGTCAGGCGGCTGGTGGTGTCCTGGGATGGGGACAAGGACTCGGGGGCACGGGGATAGGTCTGAGCTCCTGGGCCTGGACACCGAGGCCATGCAGGTGGGTCATCTTGGGTCGTGAGACCTTCTGGAAGGTCTTGCGCCTCTTGGAAAACTGGGGGCCCACGTGACACTGATCCCTGAGGTCCAGCCCCGCCAGGCCGAGCAGGCCGGACCGAGGTCGCGTCCCTGGGGTCAGTACCACCTATGTCCTTCCACGGAGAAAACCACCAATCCTGGGCGGGAGGCCCGAGAGCCCCGGGCGCAGAGGTGACCCGCCAGTCACTGCTGTAGGCTGTGGCCGCATCTGGGTGGACACACCCTGGGGTTGAGGGAGGTGGCCACGTCCCAGGGCCCAGGGTGGCCCCTCGCGGATTTTGCACATTCGGAGCCTGGGGGAGGCAGAGGGCTCCGCGCCCGTTCGGGGTCCAGCCCTGGTGGGACGTGGTATGAGGGGGCAGAGCTGTGGGCCTGGGGCCCGGGGTAGGGGGCAGCAGGCCCTGCCCAGGAGTGTGGACGCGCCCCTGGTCTGGACAGAGGGGACTACCTGCGGAGGGGAACAGAAGAGCCTCCCACCCACTACCCACTCGCATGTCCACCCGCCCACCCACCGCCCTCTCCCAGGAACGCGCCGCCCGCCAGCGACTGGCTTCACGTGACATCCGCCGAAGGGCACCCACCTCTCCCGCAAATGCTCGCACCCCTTCCCGCTCCTGAGAACCTGCGCCCAACCCACCGGCCTGCCGACCCCAGACACCCCGTCCAGGGGCCTCCACGCGTGTCCTGACCACCAGTCCAGCCCCGCAGGTGAGCGCCGCCCACCGGCCGTCCACGAAGCCAGACCCTCCGTGAGGGCCCTTCTTCCCGCGGAGGCCCCGCTGCGCTAGCTCTCCCTCCTCTCAGGGCACTCGGGCGCACAGCCCGTGGGCCCCCTTCACCTGCTGCCTTTCTGGCCTCACCTGTCACCTCTCTGCCCTCACGTCCCTCCAGCTGCCCTCCCGGGGCCGGAGCATCAGCAGCTCCGGTGAATCCAGGTCCACGCTGACCAGTGACCAGCGAGCGACCCGCGGGGCTGCCATCACAGGAGGCGG